TTTCTAAATTTGTTTCTTTTTCTAACGTTTAACCCTTTGCACTCGAGGCCTTGCGAGGCTTGCGCGAACCAGCAACTCGAGTCGATTTCGGCCGAATTAGTTCAACATTTCACAGGTACTTAAAAAAAGACAAAAAAAAACTCTCTAAACAAACAAGTCTATCCAAGTAATAAAATTGCATTCGTTTATTCAATTAGTTAGTTTTGGTGTGATATCTAGAAAAACAATAGCCAAGATGCATCCTAGGCTTGTCTGGACACGTATCACAGAAATATGAAATTTCCCGCCTTCCTCCGACGTGTTATTTATGAAGGACATTCTAGCTTCGCAGTAAACGAAGTTAACTATTTTTCTTGTTTTCCTATTAAGTAACCTTAATTCGACTTTTTCTTTGTGAAAATAACAACGAAGTTATGTAGTCGAAGTCAATACTTCAGAGTACCTTTGTGTATGTGATATAACTTCTTGCTATTTTGTCTTTAATTGACCATTAGTTATATCATATGTCAATTGTTAGTTCGATTCGTTATTCTCCTATTTTTGGCGAATCAGATAACTACTAAGCAGTCCTGAAGAGACATTTTTTTAAAATAGAAATAATATGGGAGACAGAAGATTTTTGAAAATGGATATTCTTAAGATTTTCTGTATCTAACTCGGATGTGTTATATTTAATCGTCGTGTAAACTCACTCTGAACAAAAAATTGCTATCTTAAAAAAAATTATATGTGATCTCAAATTTCTCGTTCTCCGCTCAATTTAGAAATATAATATATTATAAAAAGCAAATGTTAACAGCTGATAAAAACAACAAAGGCAGTACGTAAGTACTTACATACATACTTTTGTACATATGTATGCATCTGCATTTATAGAATTAGAAAAAAAATAGGAAAAATATTCCCATGTCTACCCATCCAAAGTTAAACTTGTTTTCAAAATCGGCTTTGACTTCAGTAGCATCGCAATGTGAACTGGTTGACCGCGTAAACGACGACTTCACGATGACTTACGACACAACCATGACAGTGATCTAGAGACGTCGATGTTTCTAACAAGCAGCTGTTCTACTTGCATTGTATATAAATACAGACATACAATTCTAAGAGTTGTGCAGACGTATTGCATTTTCTGATTCTACTTGGTGGTACATTTGAAAACGCGTAAATAATGCTTTGCGCGCGCAATTTGATACCAAACGAATACCAAAATTCAAAAAAAAGATAAAAACTAAAACATATACATATGTATGTATGTAAGTATGTATATGTGCATCCGAATGAAATGAACAAATCTAAATATGAGCAATAACTTATTTATGATTCTTAATAGGTTATTATAGCGTAAACAGGGTATATTAAGTTTGCCACGAAGTTTGTAATACCCAAAAGGAAACGTCAGAGACCCTATAAAATGTATACATAAATGATCAGCATGGTGAGCTGAGTTGATTTAGCCATGCCCGTCTGTATATATGCAAACTAGTACCTCAGTTTTTAAGTTATCGATCTGGAATTTTGCACCTGTCCTTTTCTCACTAAGAAGCCGATCATTTGTCGGACCACTATAGCTTATAACTGCCATACAAACTAAACAATCTGAACCAAATGTTTTTATGGACAACTTTTTCATTTGACGAGGTATCTTCACGAAATTAGGCACGAGTTGTTGTTTAAGGCAACAATGTATTCTCTGCAGAAATTGTTCAGATCAGATCACTATATGATTTAGCTGCCATACAAATTGAACGATCGGAATCAAACTCTTGTAAGGAGTCTTTGTATTTGTGAAGGGTATTATAGCTTCGATGCAACCGATGTTAACTTGTTTTATTTTTTTTTATTGTTATTTATTTTATTTTAATTACCTTTAAGTGAAGGTAAGGATTTAATCAATAAATATGATATGTAAATATATAAATATACAATGTATATATATGTATGTATGTATATCAATAAAGATTTATTATTATTATCCCTTTAGGGTTACTTGCTAATAATTATGTTTAAAATATAAACAAATAACTCATTAATTCAGCATAGAAGATCCCTGTGATCGTTTTGCTCTTCTCCATGTAGTTCATATAGATCACATCTTGTGAATACAAGAAAACGGTGTCCATCAACATTTTGTTCGATATGACAGGTTTTCCTTTCATCGTAGGGTCGTCGGCTGAACTCCACGGTTTCGACTGCGGTCGTGAAGCAATGCAGAAACTAATTCAGATGGCGACCAACACTGCTATAAAGTGATTACACGGTTCCGCTTGTTGTCCGGAACGCGCAAACGCAGCCGTCATCGCACCAACACCTTTTTTAAGCCCAATATTTTATGTAGGATATGACCTACGTGATCTTTTGAGATAGCAACTGTCTCGACCATCTCGGCCACTTTCAATTGTTCAACATCTTGCGAGAGTATAAAAACCTTAGCTCTGGAAGTATTTAGTGCAGGTGGCAGTAACCGCGGAATAGATAGATAAGATAGACTTTTATTGCGTTGGAAAAGCCTAATGGAAAATGGCTGGTAAAACAATTAAGCAACTGACGCCCATTATGAACACGATAACATAAATTCTGTTGTCTGTTATCGTCTGAAAGATTTCGCAAAACTATTCTAACTGTGAATATTATGGATGATGGATCAATTAACTATATATATATACAAGCATATATATACATATAATCAATTGTTAAAACATCTAAAATATGTTAATATGTCTAGAAAAATTTACGGTTCATTATACGGCGAGGACGTGGACCGATTTTTAACAACCTTTGGTCTCATATACCCATATACTGATTTTATTTAATTGTATTATTACGGCTCAGTTGGTATAATATAATATATATTTACTTCGACGAACCTCCGTCAACCAGAAATCTGCAAATCAATTAAAATATAGAAGCATATAATATGTAGAAGGCTAAGAGATAATGACGCGCGATTTTATCAATTGTGTGTAACAAATTACAATACAGCTAACAAAATATTCTCACATAATTTGTATATGTACGAGTATACGGGTTAAAATTAGTCGGAAAAGGATTTCTCTTATTTTTGATTTCAAACGACAATAGACTACGCAAAACATTCTCACTTAAGATTACTCTCATTCTGACCGATTTCATCTTTTTTTGAATGGAATTTTTCGCAGATCAGGGCTGGGTTTTCCTTTCGACATCTTTTTGTTGTGATTCAACTTATATCATGATACTTATATGTATTGACAAAAGGTGTCAGAAGGGTGATGAAAAATTATATAAATGAAAAACATTTTTTTCTGCGGCTATAGCATGCAAATTCTTTATTGATTCTGTAAAATGTTTCGTAAAATTATTTTCTCGTACAAAATATATTTATGTATGTTTGTATGTTTTTTATTACGTACAATAAAATATTTTATTATCTGCTTAACGCTTACTGTGCACACATATATTGTATGTATGTAAGTATATGCAGATATTCAGTTTTATCTCATTAGATTTTACTGTTTTTGTATACAACATTATTGATTTTAGTATTAAATTATTTTAGTTTGGTCTTTCGTAGTTTTAATAGAGTTAGTGTTTTTCAGATAATATAGAGATTTTATTCATTACATAGTAGCATGTATGCGTATTTTTTCTGTATGATAGAATATTATAAATTTCTCTTAGAGGATTTCGAGCTTTTTTTACTTGAATTTCGTATTATACTACGATTCTTTGATAAGTTTATGTTAATTTGTTCTTTGCATACGCCAACTTTCATAAAATGTTTTTTTTTTGTTCTCAATTTTAAATGCATGTTAACCACGTGTTGTGTTTTTTGTTTTTCAATTTTTTTCTTACATTTTTTTAGCTACATTAGTTTAATTTAATTTAATTAGATTTTCATATATGTTTCATATTTATGCAGTTTTGAGTAGTAACAGCATTAAGTATTTATTACCCAATTTTTTAAATTGTTTGTATATAATAATATTTATTTTTATTTTGCTAACGCACCAATTTCATATTTAAATGCGTTTAGCGCTAATTTGTACTTTAGATTTGTACTCAAATTGCTTTTCATTCAATATTTATGCATATCTAAGCATATATTTTGTTCATAATCATTTATCGTCTTGTTTATCGATATTAAAATACTTTTGAACTCGCTTATGCGCTAAAATGTTAGTAAGTTTATGCTTTCTAATTGTTTACCGAGCATTTCATTATTTTGGTTAAATTTTTTTTTAATATTTTGAATATTTTTTTTAATATGTTTGCTCGATTTTAAGTACGTAGTAGTAATGTAGCTTTTTTCATAATTGTTTGTAGGTATAAAATTGAGTTATATATTTTAGAAATGTATGTATGTAGTTTTTAGTTCAAAATAGTATTTTCTTAATTTTACGATTTATGTATTTGTTTGGGTATAAAATAATTTTCGCTCCGTTATCGTCTAAATTGATCGGTTTTTAATGAATATTTAATTTTTTAGCATCGATTTTTATTAAATTATGCGTTGTAATTACAAAATTGTAATTTTGTCTCAATTTTTTTTTTTTACTTTTATAAATCATAATACAGCAATAGGCATTTTAGCTTTTAATCAGCAGCATATAGTACGTAGCCGAAATCGTTATTATACTAAATTTAAATGCGTGCCGAAGCCGATTTTTTTATAAACCACGCAACTTAACTCATTAACAATTGGTGGGTATATCAGCTGATCATTAGTTTCGCTAAGCTAAGTTTAATTTTTAATTATTTTTTTATTATTATTTAATATTTGCATTGCATTTTTAGACAGCCAAAAATAATCGTATAAAAAATTATTTAAAATTAATAATATTAATACTATTCAAAATTTAAAAACTGCGTAAAAAATCAAGTTAAAATTTCTAATATTTATTTCTTGCGTGATTTGTAATTAATTTAATTTTATTGTTGCGTTTATGAACAAGCCTCATAATTATCAATTTATTTTGATAATAATTATTTTCTTAATTATTTTTTCTTTTTTTTTTTAATTTTCATTATTATTTTTTGTTCGCTTTCAAATAGTTTCAGCTTCTTGATGGAAAAACTAATTTTTGCTTTCACAATACATACATATATAATTGGCAAAATAAATTTTACTACATACAACGAAATTGATTTAGAGTAAAATACCGTGTACGAGTTACCCAAAACTACAATTTGTACTAACAGAATGGTTTCGCGTTTACACAATATAATGACAAAAGTCAAAATTACATATATATATGTATATGCATTTCTTTACATGTAATTTAACGTTTTATAAAACATTTTATGCGTAGATAAATTACTTTTACATTTTTATGTATTTTTGTTCAATAAATATAATAGTAAATATTTTTTTAAAAATATATTTGCATTAGTTGTAAATTTAGTAGGTATGTATGAATGTATCAGTGTACAAAAATTTAAATTATACAAATTTAATCATTACATATACAAACAGTGCTGCCAATATGTTAAACTAGCAGTAAAGAAAAGTATGTTGTAAAATCTGTTGTCGTTTTTTTATTGAAAATATATTTTTAACTAATATTTTGATTAAAAGCCTATGGCTGCAACTTTTTTTTTAAATATAATTAAATGAAAAAACAGAAACTAAAATGTAAAATATATATTTTTTTTGTTTAATAACAATTTAAAATGGCTCTTTTTTTGTATACTGTAAACTGTGTTTTTCGGTATGGCAGTCTTTTTTAAATTAATATTTTTAATTATTAAAAATAACAATATAGGAATTCTATGAAATCAAAGTCATCAGTTCTTTGCAATGAAAAGCAGTTAAACCGAATGTAATTATAAAAATTATTTCTATATTTAATGAGCAAGTTGGTAATATTTTTTTAAAATATATTTTTTACATTATTTTAAAATATAAAAGCATAATTATATAAAATATTACACTGCAATTTTATGCCCAGTAAATTATTTTAAAATAATTCTACCAACTCACTCCTTTTTTTCTTGTTTTGCTACAGTTAATTTTAAATTTGAGATCATTTTACTTTGAATTTTTGCATTTATTTATATAACTACTTGTACTTAAATAGCTTGTTGTTGCATAACATTTAAGCATTTTTTTTTTGGAAAATCAAACTTTTTTAATTGCATATACATAACCTACAAATACGCGACTTAATTGCTGCTGCTGCTTAGGTCTATTTAACTTTTGCTGTTTAATATTTTTATACCAAAAATTTAGCAATAAAATTACTTTAGTAATTTTGCGCCTTTGGTTAATTATTTTCCTTACTAAACATGCATTTTTCTTCTTCATCTTAATGAATATGACATATGCACTCAACAGTCTCAAAATCTCATTTCAATGGCGTTTGCTTAACATGTTTGTTCTTGTTTGCCAATAATATTTTGTATGCAACTGTATTAATTATTTTTTGTTTTTTTTTGTTTCCTTGCATGCATATTATTTTCTTTTATTGCTATCTGCTGTGTTTATAATTGTTGTTGGTAATTGGTTTTTCATTCGTGTTTTACAAAATGTGGAATTCCATCTGGTTACTACCAGGGATCACAAAAACTAGTCTATATACATACATATATTTTAAATTTACTATATTATTTAATTTGTAATTGTTGTTTTAGCATCTAATTTAAAGTCTTTCAAAGAACATGCTGAAATTTCGATCACATTCTTAATGTTTAACACAATTTCATACATATTCGTTTTTCATTTGTTGTCTTTGCTTTGTTTGCATGCGGAGTTGTTTAATGTCGCGTAACTGCTTAGAAAAGGACAAAGAAAAACTTTATACATATACACGCTTACATATGTACTTATAAAAATAATAAATATACGCTTTTGCAAATATAAAATTGTACGTTGTTTTTTTTTTTTTTTTTGTTTTGGTTGCTTTTAGAGTATCAATTTTTTGTAAAACAATTTTCGCACGGCGACACCCGCCTGGCAAGTGGTTAGTTTGCGTTCGAGGTGTGAGTAAATGGAATTTTACTGCATTTAATGCTGATTTTTTTTTTTGTTTTTTTGACTTTGGAAGGACTTTTGGTGGTGTGAACAGCAGCCGCAGACAATTACAAATTATGTAAGTTTTACTGTATTTAAATTTTTTCAAATTGTTTTTTGTATTTTTTACTTTCGCTCGTTCTCATTACGCTCGCGTTCTCGTTTTCATTGGCCTACTAACCAATAGGTACAGTTAATCGTTAATTTATGCTTGAAATTCGCTAACTTACAACTATATGCTTGTGTGTATGTACGTATCGATTAGATGTTATATTTTATATATGTATATATGCATTACAACTATATTTTCGCTAAAGATTTTCTTTTTATCATTAATACTATAGTAATAATTTCAAAATTTTCGCTTTGCTTCACATCAATTTTTTTTAATTGTTTCACTTTTTTTTGGATCGATCGAGGAACAATAAGTTTTGGCTTGTTACTCAAGAAGTTTTATGATGTGTTTTTTTTTGTCATTTTTCTATATTCATAAATATTTTTGCATACTTTGCATAGTGAACTTTTTATAGATGTACATATGGTATGTATGTATGCTGGCACAAGTTTGAAATCTCATTAACCATATTGTAAGTATGTATATGTTACTATATACATATGTAATTACACTCGTATGTAGGTATATAATATAGAATTGCGTTTTTTGTCAAACATACGCGTATATATCTACATACATGTGTATGTGATATTTATCAACATGCAAATTTGCTAAACTTTATATATATATATGTATATATGTATCATATATATGTTATATGTATGTTTGTATGAATACAGTTTGTTAAATCTTTTAAATATAATTTATACTCTTTTAATAGTATTTATAAATTTTCAATATACATATATAATATTTTATGCGCACTTACAGACTAAATATTTTTACTAATTTTTGTTACTTTTAAATTCTAATGAACACAATCAAGTGAATTTTCACATAAAACACTGTCGAGATTGGTATTAGTGGCGTGTTTATAATTTCATGTCTTAGTCGCTTTGGCAGTCAGTCTTCTTTAAAAAGTATAACCAAAGTACCACACAAACACATGCACTTGATTACAGTTAATTACAATATTAAACAAAACAAAAAAGTGTATAACACAAAATAAAATAATTCAAATTTCATATAAACTTACGTACAATTGTTAATTGATATGCATTGCATACAATTGTAAAAATAAAATTTTCGGTTTTCAACTATAATTAAAAAACGTGTACAAATCTTTTATAAGGATTTGTGCCTTCTTTGGAATCTGGCGATAATTCGATAAGGAAAACGATGCGGCCATCGGGCATTAGTGCCACATCACATGTGCGATCCTTCTCGTCGAGAGTTTGTGGCATCAATGGATTAACTGATGGACGTATCTCAATCTGTAGGAATGAAATTTCAAGAAATTTAGAATACTTTTAGTTAAAACAGGAAAAAGATTTTTTCAATCAGTTTGTATTGCAGCTATATGAAATAGTGGTCCAATCCGAACAATAATCTATGCAGAATTTCGTGAAGATATGCTATAGTGATCCGATATCGGCGGCTCCGCCAAGAAAGCGGTTGGGAAGAAAAGAATAGACAGACAGCCGAACATCATGGCTAAGTCGACTCAACTCGTCAAGCTGATCATGTACGAGGTGTGTTTAAAGGAAAAGGTGAATTTTGATTTTTCGCGGGCTGTGGTCATTCGATTATCGATATTTTATTTTTGTTATAATCGGACACATATGTTTATCATGTGCTTGCATTAGGAGCCAATTTCGATTAGTAGTTTGTTTTTGACATCAGAGAAGATTAGTCAGGTTTTTGTGTGCTCTTCTCTTTTTGATTTTCGAAAGAAATGGATCAAAGAATGTGTATGAAATTTTGCGTTAAAAATGGAATAAAGTGCTCCAAGGCACTTAAAATGTTGACTGCAGAGTCCACTTGGTCTCAAAAAATGTTTATAAGTATTACAAGCGCTTTACTGAAGGCCGAGCATCCTGGAGGTGCTGCTACGTCAAAATGCGAAGAAAATATCGAACAGTGAAAAAAATTGTTCTTGAAATTCGTAGAATCACTTATAGGAAAATTGCAGAGGATGTTGGCATATCAATCGGCTCATGCCATAAAATTTTCTTGAATGTTTTGGGCAACGTGTGGCAGCGAATTTTGTTTCAAAATTGCTAAATTTTGAGCAATTGAATGTCGTCAACAACGATCCGGGTTTGCTCAAACGGGTCATAACTAGTGCCGAAACGTGGGTATATGGTTACAACGTCGAAACCAAGGCCCAATCATCCCAATGGAAGCTGCCAGATGAGCCAAAACCGAAAAAGGCACGCCAAGTTCGATCAAATGTGAAGGTTTTACTCACTGTTTTCTTTGATTACAATAGTGTGGTGCATCACTAAAAGGTTGTACAGTTAATAAGGAATACTATAAGGAAGATATGCAACGTTTGCGTGAAGCAATACGGCTCAAACGATCGGAATTGTGGAAAAAAAAATCATGGATTCTGCATCACGATAATGCACCAGCTCACACATCAGTACGTAATTATTTGGCCAAAAAACAAAACCGTAATCATGCCTCAAACCCCGTATTCACCAGACTTGGCTCCGTGCGACTGTTTCCTATTCCCAAAACTGAAGAAACCAATGAAAGCGTTTTGCCACAATTGATGAGATCAAGTCAGAATCGAAGAAAGGGCTGATGGCCATATCGAAAAGCACATTACAGAAGTGCTTCGAGGATTGGGAAAAGCGTTGGCACAATTGTATTATATCCGAGGGGTATTACTTTGAAGGGGATAAAATAGATATTGATGAATAAATAAGTACTTTTCAAAAAAATCCAAAATTCACCTATTCCTTGGTACACGCCTTGTATACCTATAAACATATATATATTATATATGGTCTTCGACAATTTCTTCTGGGTGTTACAAACTTCATGGCAAGCTTAATACACCTGTTCAGGGTAAAAAAATGTACTACATGAATTGTAAAATCTTTGGTCTAACCATAAAAGATCGAGTTTTAAATGGAAATATGTTTTTTTCTTCCACACAATATTTATCTAGAGTAATGCATTTGCTATAACAGTCAGCCAATATTTTAATACTGGTTCGATTGTATGAAATTTTCAAATATACGCTTATTTCCATCTTGACCTCCTCATTTTCGTGAAATCTTTCTTCCAGCGACCAAGAGAAAATAGTCGCTGTTAGTCAAAGTTTACAGCGTAACTTCATCAATTCGGTACAGCAATATTTTCTCAAATTGTATCTCCAATATCTGATCAAATTGCGAATTTACTAAAATTTACAATTTCATATTGTACGAGACAACTTTCTAGGTTAAGCAATGGCATCATTAACTTCTACAAGTGTTAGGCCATTGTTCTGGCCTGTTTTCAGTTTTAACTGAAGGAAACAATTTGAACTATGTTACTGAACATCTAATTAAGGATTAAGGAAATTTTTCGACAACTTACACTCCAGAGATATTCCAAGCTAGGACTGTAAACGATTATACGTTGATTCTTTGAATCGGCAACGATAATACGTCCGTCGTCATCACAGCAAATACCAGAAGGGCGATTAAATTCTTGGATGCCAGTACCCTCATGGCCTTTAGCAGACAAGATCTGAAACAAAGGCACAAACTTAAGTAACATTGTAAATATATATATAATCGTAAACATATACTTAATGCTCCAAACATACCTCATTAATATCTGGATCGATCAGGTATAGACAGTGATTGTCAAAGTCCGATACTATAATATTGCCAGTTGGTGTATAACATACACCACGCGGTGAAGCAATGCCCTTATTCTGACCGTGATTGTCGAATACGATTTGTCGTATGAAACGGCCCTCCGAGTCGAACTGTTGTATACGATGATTACGCGAATCGGTGACAACGATCTGACGACGCGAATTTACAGCCACATCCCACGGATATTGGAATTGTCCATACTCTTTGCCATAGCTACCGAATTTCAACAAATACATGCCAGCCGCATTGAAAATCTGCACACGATGATTATCCTTGTCGACAACAATAATACGATTATCTATGTCGACACAAATGCCAGCCGGCAAGTCAAATTCGCCATTGCCAACACCTTTGCGACCGAATTTGAACTTCAAAGTGCCATCCGGATTAAAAACTTGCACACGATTATTGCGTCTATCTGAGATCAAAACATGACCCATCTTATCAACACACAGACCCCACGGGCGGCTAACCTGTCCATCGTCATGGCCCTCTGTGGCGAAAGATAGCGATAGTGCATTCGAATTACGTGCCTTTACATGCTCTAGAGAACCGGGTATGGCCTGTGTGCTGCGCGGTGCACCAAAATGCAGATTTGGCGAAGTGCGTAATACGCTGAGTTCCCATTCGAGTCCGGTACTCTGAAAACCACATGCACTACCACCACGTACTGGCAACAATGGTGATGGAATACTATGGAAGCTATTCTCACGGATGAACGGGCGACGCATATTCGGTGGCATCGCTACGTTGGCAACAGGCATATTAGGATTGGCTATCGGCATAACGGCACCCATTTCGGCACCTACAGCGGCTAGTACGCCACCACCGTTTACTATTGGCATATTTTGTTCGTCCACCAGCACAATTCCTCCTTGACTGCGTATATCTTGCAATATATTATAGTCCGGCGAAATGAAACCGAACATCTCTTGCTTTGGCTGTAAATCTTTATATATGGCAGCGAATTGTTCGAGTTGTCGCTCTCCATTTGAGACCTTCATCGCAATCTCAATGTGATCCATGCGTCCGCTATTCTCGCATATTTTTTGCAACATATCGGAAGTTTCAGCAAGTCCGGAAAGTGCCGATTTCAAGCCGGCCATTTGATCGTGTAGTGTGGCCAGGCGACGTTGACGCAATTTATCAACAAAATCCAATAGGAAACGTTCGCGATCCTCGATGGCAATTATGAATTGTCGAAAGGCTTTCCGTATCGTGTCACTCAGTTCGATGCAATTGCGCTCAATCATTCGTATAAATGTCAATGCCTTATCAATACTACTCTTAATGCACTTGGTGCCCGTACGGCTACTTTCAATGGCCGATTGTATCTTGTCGTTGGCTTCATCGACGAAACTCGCTATGGAAGCGTAATTGTGCTCCTTGTGTTCGTGCAGCGTACAACATTGACAGACTAACTTTTTGCACGAATCGCAAACGTAACGCATCATCTCATTGTGTAGATCACAAATGTAGCTGGGCGATGGTGGTGGTGCTAACGGTGGTGCTGCTGGTGTTACAGCTGTTAATGTTGCACTAGAGACTCCACCAGTGGGTGAGGTGGCTGTACCGATCGGTGCAGGCAACGACACGATTGCATGATTCGCGAATACAGGACTCTTGCGATGTTCCTGTAGACAATTATTGCACATAAACTCATTACATTCAATACAACGTATGGAAGCACTTACTTCACACCAACCGCAATTCATACTCGAATTGCTCGACGACTCAGATGGGAATTTTTTAGGCCGATTTATAGGCGGTCTGGGCATCCCAATATTACCCAAATCACCTGATGGCTGTTCTATAGCACCAAAGTAGTTATTAAAGATGGCGTCGTTGTTAGGAGTCGAACTAAAAAGAGAACAATAAACAAACTCAAGTTAGCGACAGAAATAAATAGTGGAAGATTTAAAGAAATAATGTTACGAGATTATTTAAAAATTACCACTGCTGAACTTCATGCCTTAAAAGTACTAGTCTACTTTGAACATTACATGGAAATTATCGGTGTCAGATTATCAGATCTATGATCAAAAGGGATCTATACATATTAATCTTAATATAGTTCCAGCGGACAGTGACAGCATTATTTTCCTTTGAAAAACCGTTCACAAAGCTTAAGCATGATCATTTCCAACGTTTTTACCTTGATAATAACTTTGTTAGGATACTTCCTGATGACTCTCTCTTACACAGTAACATACTTGTATAACAGTTTTGTTCATCTAAGGATTGTTTGTAACAGCATAGTCGCAGGAGAAAATGGCGAGTGCAAAATTTCAGATCCTTATCTCGAAAACTGAGAGACTAGTACGCATATATACAGATAGATATATGGCAAAATCGATTCAGCTCGTCACACTGAACATTTATATATACTTTAAAGGGCCCCGACGTTTTATACTGGGAAAATGTTAATATGACCTTTAAAACGTTTCGCCCCCGTTCTTAGAATATGGTTTTAAGTGAGTTTTTAGGTATTAATATTGATCAATGGAATAGACTGAAAAAAATGAAGGCCGTGTATCGAATTCTCAAAATCCGTTTGAAAAAACTGTAATTTGTTTGTGCCTTTAAGTAAATGTCTACATATGGTTATGACTACAGTCAATCTTGTGACTAGTATGCAACAAGTTCCAATACCTTTGTTTTGACTTGGATGTGAACAAATGAAAATACAGTTAGACTACCTTAGATTAATTGTGGAAGATGATTCCACCGAATCTCCATAAATTGTGTTCCTTAAGGGTATAAAAAGTCAAACACACTTCTTACTACTTTTCCAACACAAATTCGGGTATCTAATGTTATTGCATATATTAAATAGGGTAGCGCGAAAAAAAAATTTTTTTTTGCTTAGCCTGAGGGTAAAATTTGTAAATTATAAAAAAAAAAGAAAATTTTTGGAGAAAAAAACATTTGTTTAACTTTTAAAGTAAACTTCGACATACAATTTTTGATAAGTGTTTTAGAAGCTGTGGAGAGTCCTCTTTCTGGCCAATTAAAAGTTATCAAGAGTTTAAAGCAAAAAAAAAATTGTTTTTGTCCCAAACAAATTTTAACTCGAAATTTACTTCAAAAGTGAGTGGGCCGCATATAGATGTTAAAAAAACAAATTTTCCAAAAATCCCTCAGGCTAAGCAAAACAAAAATTTTTTTTTCGCTCCACTCTAATATTAAATAGTAGACTTAACATATATGTACTTACATTTCATTACTTAACGGCTGCATCAATGGCGGAGGGGCAGCACGAGCAGCGGTCATATCCCATGATGGAAAGGTATCGAAAAAATCGGCTAGCAAACGTTCTGCAGTGCCATTTGGAATTTGGCCATTGCTACCGTTCGGTGGGTTATTACCGGCTGCCATTTGTTGTTGTACGCTGGAGGAATTTCCCGATATGAGTTCCATCATAAAATCGTGCTTAATACGGCGAGTAAAATTTCGCGGTCAATCGAACACACGTCCACCACTCCAACAATTAACTTCGCACACTGAATTTGAAGATTGGAAAATACAAATACAAAAATACACTAATTCACTCCTTTTTACAAATACTGTAAAATACTTTTTAAAACAAAAATTTTATGTTTTTAAAACAAAATTTTTATACTCGACTATCTCGAAGTGTTTCTGACGGAAGCGCGAACAACACTATGCAATGTGATCAGTCGGCGGTGCTGTTAAAAGGGCGTCAGACACAGGTATCTTGCAGCAGGGAGACAGCACAGGTCACAAATAATCTTCGCTTGGCTTGCTTTTGTTTCAATTTCAGTAAACACATTTTTGTGCGTGTATATGTGTGGGTAACATGTGTTTTGTTTTTACTATTTTCGGAAAACTATTAAATGGTAAAGTATCAGTTCCGCTCTTTGAGTACATTGATTTATAAAGAAAGACATTCGATTTCAGCTGCCAGAAATTCATCAAATAAAGGCAGGATTATAGCCAGCGCAGCTTATCCCGGTTACCTTTCAATAACTGTAGGTGTGTATGTTTGCGGTCTAGTCTGAATGCATATATACATATTTATATAGACCATGTTAACCCTTATACGATTATCTGCCCTGATTTTTAATTGCGATTTTGTTCCATCCACAAAATGACAATCGAATATAATAATTGTAGTTTACTATAGTTTTTATGTATGGCTCTATCAAGCAATCAGTTATCTCACTCTCTATACATTTCTCTTCCCTTTTTTTGGAGTATTATTTGTGTACTTCTTTCCTAAAAAACTATTTCCAAAAAATAATGTATATGGCAAAACAACGTTTGCCGGGTCAGCTAGTTGAGTATTGAAATGAATAAGAAAACAGATTTTGCTTAAAATAATCAAACTCTAACCGTTAATATCTGCTTTTTATGCCAATTACTAGGCCATGTTAAATAATCACAAAAAAACTTAGTTTTACTATAAAAATTCTGTTCAATTTATTACATGTCATAAGAGAGATATTATAGTTCTACATAGTTCCAAAGAAAAACATCTTGCTAGTTCTTTCCATTGATGTAAGCAACCTTCAAGTCGAATTAAGGCTAATTAATAAGGAAAAAAATAACTTTTAAGAAGAACTCAATCTTGCTTTTGATTGGTCCGTTTGAATGGTTGATTTATGGTATACAAGTAGTAGTCCAATCTGAACAATAAGTTCGAAGATTATAGCATTGTCATTTCCCATACAAGAATTGGTTTTTTTTCGATCGGTTTAAATGTCCGCTACATGATATAGCGCTCCAAAATCGATGCTTCCGGCAAATAAGCAGCTTCTTATAGAGAAAAGTAGTAGAATTTCAGATCGATATTTTCACGGTCATTCTCTCGAGAATATCGATCAGCACGCTAATCATTTATAGCTATAGGTACTTTATGGGGTCTTCGACGTAACGTACGTAACCACACTATTAATCTCGGTCACGAAAAAATCCGAAATTATTTATATGTATGTGAGTTAGAATTTTACGTCTAAAAAATCGCTCGAACTTTCAGCGTAAAACTATTTAAGGCCAGAATAAAGCAAAACATCTCCTCTTATGATTGGAAATGGGGCCGTTCCCCCACAATCGGGTCTACGTAACCGGAACGGACCCGGATTTATTCCGGTCAAGGACTGTCAACTCGGCAGAATTCTGTCGCTACAACAACAACATGATTGGAAATGGGGCATACGGTTATAAATCCGAAAATATTTGGTTGGATTAAAAATCTGGCTTGTTACAATCGAAATATTATAATACATGTAATACAATTATCAAATAGACTGAATATGGATTTCAACATATTAGTTAAATAAGTTGTATGACATTATAACATGATTGCTGTATCGATAGCAAAAGTTGGATCGCAAATAGCAGTTTTTGGTTGAATTTTTCTATAACACGAGTAGACTTCTATCGGCACTCTGTCTTTAAATTATGTATGTCTAAAATCTTTCCAAAACAGCTTGGTCTACGTATTTGCAACTAATTTATATTCAACCAGAGATCACCCATATTTACGATAAAAGCTAAATTCTCTAAAATACATTTTATAATACATATGTATGTATGTATTTGTTTGCAAATAACTCCCCAGGTCTGCACTTATTGGAGTATACTCTTTCAATCATAGTCGTTTGCTATTTTAATGGTGGTATTACTTGAAAAAATACTCATCCAGAAACGAAAGAGAAAATTTACAGAGCCTTGCAGTGTTAGGTATACGCATTTTAAGGAAAAATAGTTGCAGATTACAGTATTTTTGGATCAACATGACATACGCTGTTTTAATAACCTTACCACCCTAAACTTCAAATCAAGTGATGTCTCCTCCTCTACAGAATAATGTTAAAGCCACTGAAAGAACTTCAGATTACTATGAATATACATAAGGTCCTAAAATTTCATTGGTCATGGGTCGACAGACGGAAGCCAAGCAAACTAGTGGTTTTTATAGTCAAAGCTATTTAATAAGAGTTATGCTCCACCGTGTGAATTCGATAGAGAAGAGAGTATAACCGCTTTCTTCAATACTACCAAGTTTTGTTTAACAGAGTTTACAACTGCTTTACCTCTTTGAATGGCATAGATTTTCATTTGCTTTTAAAAATTTAAGTCTTAAAATAAAATATAATTGTTTATAGAAATGGTCCAAAAGGTTACTAGGTATCTTAGCACAAGATTTAACCGTTAGTGCTACCAGTCTATTTGAATAGCAGTTTAACATGTTCGATTCACAACTCTCTACCGGTTGACGAAGACAACTGATATCTCACAATAGCATAAACGTTTCTGCAAGGTACTCTTAACATCTTTAAAAATGGTGCAAAGGAGCCGCACCAGGTATCTGTATACCTGAATAAAGATTTTACCGAAATTATGGATATTCCCACTAACAAGTAGCACATGCAGATGCACACACACATACAAAGGAGCACGGATGCAACTACAATTAAAATTTGTTTCAAAGAAATAATGCACATAGACATACATCCATATGCGTATACGTGCATAGGTGCATAAATATGGTAAATAAATCAAATAAATTGAATAATTGTGCGAATTTCAAAGAGATGCTAAAAAGGCATTAACAAGAGAACTGCAGCGTAAATCAATGTCCCTTTGCTCATTACCGTTGAACGAAATTCTAGGCGAGTCATCTGTTAACGGCTGAATGCATATCCGCACAAAGTAGGTATTTAGCACAAACACACACACACAAACATATACACATGGAAGTGCGTAAATGCACGTACGTTATTTGGAGTAAAGCAGCGAGTTTTCTAGTTCGGTCTTCGCTTTGCTTTCGTTTATTATTTTCTTCTTTTACAATCGATGCGTAGCGAATGCGTAAGGAATCATCTGCCTGACCGAATATATACATACACAGAAACACATACACACACACACATGTATAACTGATTTTCTTGAGAAGAGTGCCGCAGACAGCAGAACAACTACAATAACAGCAGGGAAGAAGTCTTTAACGCTAGGCCATGAAGGCAGACAGTCGAAGAAAAACCACCCCTGTTATTCATAGAAATTTGAACTAAAAGTAAACTCACCCCTAAAAAGGTTAACTACTATTGCGATTTGTGTGTCCTTCTGGAAGGTACCCTTACTCACCAGCCACGTACACCCAAATCCATTACATATTTATTTGTATGGCATTACAAAGCAAACACACAGATACATACATACCTATATAGTGACGTATGGAGTTAAGGACACGATATGCCAAATGAAATGCTAAGGACTGTATTAAGATAAGGGCAAAACACACAAAGTGCGCAGAATGCAAAAGTATTATAACTATGTACAATGTATGTACCTATGTAATTTCTTTGCTACACTCTTGCACGAAATTTAATAACTTCGTACCACCTTATGTATGTATATGTGTATATTCATGCTTACAGATTTCAGATTTTTTTTCACCAGATAGTAACCCTATTATGTGTTGGATTTAAGAAATTTCCTACAATTTTCAGCTTAAAGAAGTAAAGAACGCAATTTCAGCGAGAAGAAATTCAAAATATAAGGCTTGCAGGTGAATATATTCGTTTTGGTACCTTTTTACTTTTAACCTATACTTTTCAGCGGTTAGCCAGTTTAAGACTTTGAAAAAAACTTCAAGTACACTTTAGGGTCCTAAAAACCTAATTCAATTCGTAGAAGAGCAAAAAAAAATATTGCCTTGCGTTTTCAAAGCGGGAGACGACGGTACTCAAAGCAATCGTGCTTATCTACCTGAAATTTAAACTGTAGCTTCACAATAATATTTTTTACTAAATTACGTACGATTTTTATATTCTAAATAGTAGTAGTAGTAGCTTGATACTCTTAAAAAAGTTTTTTTCTTCTTATTATCAGATAAAAAAATTCATATCTCACTGCCAACTACTTGAAACAATATCTCGATTCAAGAATTTGTAGGAAATGGAATGCTCTACAAAATGGTCTCCATTACGATTTTTTCGTAAACCTTACGGTTTAAAACATATTAGCGCCTAAAGTTTATTACTCAATAAAAAAATAATAATTTAAATTGCAATACTCATAGTTTTGTAGAAAATTCACTATTCGTGACCACTATAGCATATAGCTGCCATACAAACTGAAAGATCGGAATCAAGTGCTTATATGGGATACTTTTTTATTTGACGAGATATCTTCACGAAATTTGTCATAAGATATTGCCAAAAGCAATACTGTAATCCTGAAGAAATTCTATAGATCGGATCACTATAGCATATAGTTGTCGTACAAACGGAACGATCGCAATCAAGTTCTTGTAAGGAACTTTATTGTATTAGTGAAGGGTATTATAGCTTCGGTGCAACCGAAGTAACCGTTTTTTCTTATTTTTGTTATTATTCCAACTTTCATAAAGAATTTTTCCATAAAGAATTTACTACTTATTTTTGGGTCTTGTAAAAACTGTATTTTTGTGAAAATGTATGTAAAGCTAACTTCCTTTACCCGCAAGATCGTGTATTTTATTTTATTTCAGATAGGAAAAGTTTATAGAAATACCTTCGCCCGTTGTCATTCTCATAAAAGGTGATTCCGAAAAATGGTCCACTAGTCGCAATATTTTGTATAAAAATGTGTATAAAAACAAAAATAACACATTCAAATACATGTTTAATAAAGCCAGTAAAAGAGAAACTCAATTGCTTTTTCTTGCTACCAGGAAAAATTGGCAAAATCAAGCGCTTGTTGATGGCTTCAAATAAAGTTAAATAACAACATTATATACATACATATGTATGTAGGAATTTCAAAACCAAACTTTGTTAGTCAAAAGTTAAAGTCAAAACTTTAACGTTGTAAAATACGTATCGTCTGAAAAGGCGTAATTTAAAAGTTGGTTTTCAATATTTTTCAAAATGTTTTAAAATGATATTGTACATACATAATACGAAATTTCATAATACTTATTTTCAATCATTTAATGATTTTATACTCAAAATAAACACGAATTCTGTGGAAGTTGATTTAGAATCACCAGCTCTATTCAACGCAGTATAAGTGACGAAGGAATTGCCATTATTTTGCAACACTACTGGACTAATGATGCCGAAGGTCAAGATCGGCTCAAACACGAAGTCGAAATTGGCGAACACATTCGTTACACGTTATCGTAAGTTCTATCAAACATTTACCACTCTTGAGAGTTATTGAACCGATCTGTAAAAAGTCGGCATATAATAGTTGAAAGGAAACATTGGCAATTTATGTACTCATTTTTTTAAGGATTGGGTATTAGTCAAAGCATTAAGGAATCCAAATCTTTCAACTCTTAAGAGGTTAGGTCAGTAAAAGCCTTCAAAAAGGGTTTAACTTTGACAACTTATTTTGGGAATAAGGAAAAAGAAATCAAATATCCTTCTTTCAGGCTTTTAAATAATATATTTGAGTGAATACAAATGTTTATATTGTCATTTGGTTACAAATCTTCGGAATCAACTTTTTGAAGTGGAGCTCTACGAGCAGTGGTAGTTTTAGGAACTGAAAATGGGAACTGAAACTTGTGAACAAAGGTTCGATTTTTTACCGAAAAATTAGCGGTAAATAGTGAAGCTATAAAACTTTTTTTAAGTGGATGCGTAAGTACCATCGTCGCGCGATTTAAAAAACGAAGTTTTGATAAATGTATAGTAAATAATTGTATAATGTTTTAGGGACCCTAAAGTGTATATTGGACCAACAAAATTTGTTTTTTTTTGTGTCTTTAATATTTAGACTGGCCTAACCTTTTAAAGGAGCCAAATCTTTCAAAATTCAGCTAAAATCTCAATATCGCATACATATGTACATATATGTGTGTATATGTGGACATTTAATATTTATGTATGAACACATATGTTTACCGTGTAAATATGTATTTAGATATCAATGTGTGTCAATGGAAACTAAAATCTATAACACTAGTACAGTTAAATGTAGTTTCTCCAATAGGACTACCAATTTCACAAAATACATATCTACCCAACATACATATATACATACATATGTACATATGCATGTTCCCAACTTTTTACATAAGTATGTATGTATTTGCATTTTTATCATTTGGATCCTACGTGATTTTAATGCGTTGTAGCGAATGCAGTCCCGAATATCCTTTTTACCTTTACTGTGTCAACATGCGCAGATTTACACACATCTATATATAATATATATGTATGTACTCAAAGCCTCTGTCTATAACAAACTTATCTATGATGGCTTGTACTTACGTTTCTTGGCACAGGCATACAAGTTTGCGTTTGAATATTTGTATGCGTATGCAGTTGTTGGTGTTGTATCGGCGTCGTCGTCACTGCTGTCAGTGTTTTCGTAAGCGAAGGAAGGGCCGACCAACTTATGTATGGGGTCTTTTCCGTTTCCCTTATACAACGTTCTGACTATTGGTTGTGTTGCGTTACGCCGTCTTGTTCAGCTTCTTCTTCTTCTCCGTGCTGTTTCTATTCTTCTAATGAATACGAATATACTTGCTTTGCATATATAAAGGTGCTGGGATTTTTGTTTTCACTCCCCAAATATTCTATGTATTAGTTTTTTCTTGTTTTTATAAATTGTACAATGTTTTTATAAGTTGTACACAATCTCTTACGCTTCTCTTTTATGTTATTTTCTCTTAAATTTGATTTTTTTCTGTTTTTGATTTATGAATACTTTTAGGGTTGTATTCAGTCTATGCTGGGCTAAACGACTCCCAATTGGATTTTTAACACTAAGAATTTTTTTTGTTTTTGTTGCTTGCAAGGGCCACGAGTATTCGTTTATTATATATTTAATTATTAATTTATTTAAAATTTTATTTTTAAGTCGTTTTTGTTGTTTTTGTATGATTTTACATATAGTACTTTGGAAGAGTTCAGTCGATTTGTGCTGGTCTTTTGCCGTTATTGTTGTTGTTATGTTTATAATTTTCCAAATCTCCACTGTGTCGCCGAAAACTGACTTCGCATTGTCTTTCTATGTTTTTAAGTATACATATGTATGTATGTATTTACATATGTATGAAAATTATTTGTTTGATTGAGTGCATACATATATTTTTGTATGAATGTATGTTTGCTCGTTTGTTTGTCATATACACATAGATATGCTTCAATCTAATGCCTTTTCACGTATTATGAGCGCTCTTCGCTGTTTCTCGGGTTCATGATGTTAGTTCTTTTCTTTTTTTTGTTCTTTTTTGATTTCCTTTACGAATTTCGGGTGCACCACAGCAATGAAAACGTAACAGAAGTTAAAAGAAGTGCGTTTTTTATTGTTTTGCATTAGTTTTTTTTAGTTTGCTGTTATTTTACTTTATTGGATTTTTTTGTTTCTAATTTGTTGTTGCACTGCCCCTGTATTGTTGTATTTAATTTAAAGTTTTTTTTGCGCTAATGCATAATATTTTATTATATATATGTATATATAATATAGGTATGTATATATTGTAAAAGTACCGCTTTTGAAGCCGTTCCCTTTTATTAGTTGTAATTATAAGAATTTATTTTATAGTTGTAATTTATGTAAAATGATTTTAACAGTATAAAATCAGTAATACTCTCCTGCTCCTTTTATTAGATTTTCGGCTTTGAAAGCACTCTTAAAAACTCTTATACATATTTATTTACATACACTTGTGCATGCATGTATTTTAGTTATTATATTATATTATGGCCTTAGATTATTGCATAGTGTTTATTATTATTTTTATTTATTTCACATAAATTTATTTAAGTCTGATCAAATCCATTGCACCAGCTTTGCACAATTTCGTCAAAGCTGCTTTTAAACGCTGACCATATATATGTATTTATTTGTATATATATATATATATATATATATAGAGATAATACTTTTTGATATAACAAATCCAACGGAGACGCTCAGTTGCACGATTTAAGGACAATAATAACGAAGACTATACACCTTTCACACAACAGCTCTGACATGACACTAACTCACCGTTGTGGCAGCGCGCCCTTATGTTGTGTTGCCCAATTTCCTATCAGCAAGTCGGCGAGAGAGCCCAACTGGCGTTCTGGGCGCACACAAACATCCAACTTACGGCATGCACTAACACATAGAAATTGTCAAGCTTACATATGTGCATATATATATATTTTATAGCGCTGCATTTATATACATTGATGTGAGTGCACGCAGGCGATTACGCTCATGCGTACATATGTATTTAGCCAAAACCCAATGTTGGGTACCCATTTGCTTAATATATTGGGGCTACCAAACGACACGGTGGTGGTGGTGGTGGTGACTTCTTGGCTTTTTGGTGTTGTTGTTGGCTACAAATGTAAACCAAAGCGCAACAAACAGGACAAGAGAGCGCCTTAATAATGTGTACAAATATATTTTTATTTGTGTGCATCTGTCTGTAAGTAAGTGTGTATACAAATGGTAGAAAAAACTAAGAGATATCAAAAAATCTGCAATAAAAATTAAAATTTAAACGCATAAAAATTATATTAACATTTTAATACAAATACATACATATATATGTATATTGTTATTATATGCTATATAGTATTTCATACAATAATATAAAAAATAATAAATATTATCAAACAAATTACAAATATTAATCCTTACAACTAACTACATTGTTGACTTTTGTGGTATCCTGCTTCGGTGGAGACATACAAATTTACATATATGCATACATACAGGCACATATACTAGTACACACAAGAATGGCAAGTCTATATATTATAATAAATTTGGAGTACTCGCATCAGTCGAATACTCCCTTTTATGCAATGCGTTGAGAGAAGAGTAGACGAAGTCACCCCTATCGCACGTGCTGAGTTGCTTTCGGGTCACAATACATTCGCATTGGAATCAGGAATACTCATTACTTAAAGCACATATACATACTTACATGCACGTACATGTATGTGTAAAACTATAGGGAGCTTTATAAAAGGAAGTACAAAAGCGGTCACTATATCATATATGTAGCTGCCATACAAACTGACCGATCAAAATCAAGAAAAAATTATTTTATACGTTAAACAACAAGTGGACTTAAGGTCTTTCTATAAGTTTCTGCATGGATGGCACTAACTTATAGATAGTTGGTCGTTGTTGTAGCGGCTATCTCTTCTGCTATGTTGACAGTCCATGGCCGCATAAAAACGGATAGATACTTGGTCTTACAAGATGTCCGCATCGCTTCACATTAAATTACGTTTTATGAGCTAAATAGTAATTACACGGTCCTGTGCTAACAGAAAAAGTCTATTAGATACTAAAGTTACATATATATGTCTTTAATTGTTCTAATATGATGATGATCGCGATTGACGATTTTATAATTATCTATGTATGAGATTTATACCGGACACGGTTTAAAAAGCACGACGTCGTAAACTTGAGAATGAAATTTACAGAGAATCTGAAGGATAACATGTCGCTCACTAACCGAAAAATCGTTGCGAGTGATATCACGCCCGAATTCGCCGCAGTTTGCGAAGGGAATCAACCGACCGATCGATCTGAAAGCTATATCCTTCTCAAAAAGGAATAATGTTGCAATTGTAAAAATAATGTTTCAATTCCAACGACCACTATTTGAGGTCAATACTTCGTGCTAGAGTAGTTGAAGATTGACTCTTACTTTACTACCAAACTGCTGAGTTTGAAATTTATCTCGATCAGTTGTTCGAAAATTGTCACTCACTCTCCTCCCCCTAAGAAATGACAATAAGATGTTCTATTCTTCATTCCGTTTACGTTCTCGAAATACCCCATCTACCATAAATATTTAACATTTCAAATTCGAGATCGACTGTTCCGACAATGTCATTATATAGTTTTTATTGTTGGATAGTACAAAATATTCAGCAATTAATTTAGGGGAATGCGGTTGTGATCAACCGAAAATCGGCACACGTTCGAGTCCGACTGAATCCGACCAGTTCCACAAATTCCAATATATATTTTCTTTATTGTTACAGAATATCAGACCAATTGTAATTACCAAACCAGAGAATGTTAATGAATAGAGAAGGCGCAAATGTTAAATCAAATCTTTTTGTGTACTAATTTGTAATTCCAGATGAGGGAACATCGAAAAAGAAAAATACACCACGCAATATGCGAAATGCTATAAATAGACACAAGGAATATTCCTAAATGAAAAATCGTTGCGCATATCTATTTAGATTTGTTTTCAAATTCTGATATGACAAAATTTATAATTATGAAAAGCCTTCTGAATTAAAAACATTCTCTGACCAAAACATCTATTTGGTATTATATTGGTCGTATATAAATTGGATTCGTTGTGTGTACGTAGATCCGACGCACTGAAACTTTTCCAGTCCTGTGAAAAGTGAGTCTTATATGTGTATTAATTGAAAATTCCCACAAATTTATGGAAGTTCACATTTTTAATGGAAATAACTTCTTGACGATTTATTATTTTATACATATGAGATTATATTGTGTATAAAAAAACGCATACTATATGAATTCGTACAGATCATACAGTAAAGTATTCAACATTTATGCTAAAGTCTGCAAACTTAACTAACTTATATAATAAAAAATATAGTAGTAATAATTTTTTAATTTAATTGACAATAAAAAAGTTAAATAAATTATTATTTATGTATTATATATCATATATATATATATATATATATATATGTTGGAATATATAAAGAAATGTTAGTTATTTAATACTATTTACTTTCTTAACATCATCAACGTAAGCAAAGCGTTGCGTGTAATACGCCAATACCAGTAGGTATCGGCTGTAACACAACGCCATTTGATTTGCTTTCCGCTTTGCGCTGCACCAGGAGACTGTCCAATGATTCGTCATCATTTCGTTTGTGCAACAGGTGCTGGTATATTTTGATTTATTGGATTCTCAAAGCTACTATTGGTGTTTCCTACAATATTTCGTTTCCGATTACTTGCTACTTTACTAGTATTGCCATTTATTTGTGCTGTTGTTGTTATTGGCGTACTGTTATTGGTGGTGGTGTTGCCTACCATCATTATGGAAATTGGATTTTTTTGAACACAAGCGTTATTTTTTCTTGTACCCAGCGCTGCAGCACCGTTAGTGTTGGAAGAATGCGCTGTTGTGGAGTTACCGTTAATTGCCGCTGTCGGACTAAAATCGCCACCCTCGTTCAAATAAATGTCCATGTGATCTACTGTGTCAGAGTTAGCAAAATTGTGATCACGACGATCACTTTTCTTCCAGATATAATAGAACTGCACCAGCTCACGCATTGTACGCGTACGCACCTTTAAATAGCGACGAATGCTATAAATTAATGCTCCAATCCTTGAATCTCATTAGAGATTATACTTGCCTGATTTTGGCGTATTTTGAAAAAATCTTTACCAAATTTTTGTATACCCTCCTCGAATTTATGACACTCTTCTTCTGACCATAGGCTCATCGAACCAGTCAGCGGGAGGGCATTTAGACGTTTACGTCGTAAGGCCTCTTTAAAGTCATAACCACATTGGACGAGTAAATGGAGTGCCTGTAGCATAGAAACTTTATTTAAAATTATTTTTGCAAAAAAAGTGTTTGGCACATGTACCTGCTCATTATCCTTAATCACAGCAGTTGCATCAGCGCTTTCACCTGATAATGAAGTAACGGTGCTTAGCACGTCATCTGCTTTGTTAATAAGAGATGACTCTTTACTTTCCACGTCGACACCATTTGATGCAATATTTATTGCATCTAATGGCTGGTCCTCTGCATTAGTGGTTTGGCTAGACTCTTCACCTTCCTCGTCGCCATTATCTAACAAACTTGGTTTGATATCCCGTGCCTTAAGCAAGTATTCCTCAACTTGCCTCTCACTAACCTGACTGGGTTCCCAAATCAGTTTATCTTCATTTTCATAGGGTAACACATCACCATATTGTGATAAACCATCTGGTATGGTTGCTTGGTATGATGGTCCAACCATAATAGTCTTCTTTACATAGTCACTGTCAAATTCATCTTCCTCCTCCTCTTCGGCATCATTTACATCTTCCTCATTGTCATCGTCATAAAGTATGTCGATTTGTACATCTAAAATTATCCATTCAAAATTTACTTAATATATATATAAATATATGTATACACAGTTGTTTTATAAAAACCTTTTCCAGTTTCAACTCCTGAATTTAATACTTCTGTAAAGGACTCCTCTGGATAAAGGTCCATCAGATGTGTGCGACGGTGTTTATTTTTTTCTGCAAGTCCGTTTGTTGAATCCCCATTTTCTGCAATTTCATCTTGCTTACAATCGTCTTCTAAACATTCTTCATTATCCTCACAAAATTCTGGAACTATATTTTTGGCAGTGTTTTCTTCATCACCACTCTCTTCAATCAAAATTATGTCACTTGTCGCTCTTTCTGTAGTATTCGGTTCAATATTCTCAACTGCTTCCAAAGTCGGCTCAGTTGGCAGTTCTTCAGAAATCACAGCTGATTCACTTGCAACTTTGCGATGTTTCGAGTTTTTACCACCACCAGCTGTACGTTTATTCTTTTTTCTATATGTTCCAATGTGTACAGGAGCAGGTGGTGCTACTTGATATTTTGCCAGCAATTCTTCTAAAGGCATTTCACTTTCCTCTTGCAGTGTAGCAATTTCATCGTTAGGGTCTTGTTGTTCCATAGCAGCTAAAGCTTCTTCCTCGTTCAATGTCTGTTCATCGTCAAAATCGTTGACCATCATATCAATTGATGGCTCAAATGTGGCGTCTGCACTGCAGTTTCCGTGTGAGGTTGACGTAGACGACGCTGGCGACAACGGAGCAGCAAAAGTCTCTAAAAGAGTTGATATGGCAATTGGCGATTTATTGCGGCGTTCGCGTTGTTTGCGCGGGACCGTACAGTCCGTTTGGTAGCTAATTTCACCAGAATCCGTTGGTGCAATCATATTACTTGGTGTATCAATGGCCGTAGAGTCCATTTCCTCTTTTACTGCTTCAAAGGAGTTTCTCGCCATTACATCAGCAACTGGCTCCGGAGACATTATATTTTAGTGATAAATTTGCAATGAATAAAATAATATACAAGAAAAACTTTTGACACATTCGACTTTTGCCAAACTTCAGTATAGTGGCGTTTTATTTTAACGACGTTTAAATTGACATTAGCGCTGTTCTAAGCTATTACAACGGCGGCATATAAATTACAATAAAGTCAAGAAACAGGGATGTTAAACGAGGTAGGCGCTAAAGCACTATACGTTGTATATTTATATTTATTAGGATGGGATAGGATTAGGAAAATAAGTAAACAATAAAAAAAAATTAATATAACAGAAATAAATAAATAACAACTAAATAAATAAATAAAAAATGCATAAACAAAAAATATATATAAAAAAAATTTAAAAACAAAACCAAAAAAAATGAAAAACCAAAAAATATAAAAAACTTAAAAAGTCAAAAAACCAACCACTATTTATATAATATAAA